ACAACATCCGTTGAGCGAAATTCTTTGGATAAATTCTTCAGTGAACTTCCTACTGATCGGCCACCAGTCGCGTCTCTTAATTCACTCTGCAGATTTGGTAGAATAGAATTTCGAATGAAATATGTGCACTGTGAAAGAGTTTAGAAAACCGGGTGGCAGCTCATCATCATCATCATCATCAGTCTCACGATGAAAGGCTTGCAGCGAAACCTGAAGTACCGAGGCGACTCGACCAGATCGCATGAACCCTGATTGCTAACAAGCATTATAGTCAGTCATGAGACGAGAATTTCACTCAGTCCCCTTGATCAGTCGCCATTAGTTAGAACATACATAGTGCAAGTATTGCTGATCGGTTGACACAGCTCATAGTTATTTTGAAATGTCTAATGGATGGACACATTTGAAGTTTGCAAATTCAACAATGCAATGTCTGTGATGGAAAGCTCAGATGTGTTCGAAGCATTGCTCTCGCATGCTGCAACAACCGAGTAAGCAGTGAGTGCTGTGCTTACGAAGGCACCACTACGTAGTAGGCAAGGCAAATCAATCGATGATCCATTGAAACTCGATCTGTTCAGGTGGTTGGTTGTGACATGTGTTACGTATTCTCAACCACCACCGACTGCCTCGACGAGCCATGTTTCGTCGTGAGTGATTGAGTGAATGAGTGAGTGAGTGAGTGAGTTGGAAGAGACGTAGTGCCGGACAAACCGAATCACAGCACAAATGCATGAAGTCACTCACAGCTGCACTGTGTGTGTCAGTCATGCTGGTAAGTGTAGACTACCTGGTTGTGGTCGGCCACACAATGAATGGCAACCGACCGTCACACACTTTCAACGACATGACTCAAAATCGTTTGCAATGGCGCAGCTGCATGCACTCATTGTGTTCTCCGAAATTCTAATCTACTACTCAATTCCTCATCACCTCTATCTTCCTCCTCGTTCGAAATTTGTCTCACTCAATTATACTTCTTCAATAGTTTTCTCCAACCCTTCCTTATCTTTTCCATCAACGCAAATGCTCACACTTCACCGACAACCATTGCAAACATTCATTCATTCATTCATTCATTATGAACAATTGAATGAAACAAAACAAACTAACCTGTACATCTTGTTCACCTAATATAGAACTGACAACATCCGTTGAGCGAAATTCTTTGGATAAATTCTTCAGTGAACTTCCTACTGATCGGCCACCAGTCGCGTCTCCTAATTCACTCTGCAGATTTGGTAGAATAGAATTTCGAATGAAATATGTGCACTGTGAAAGAGTTTAGAAAACCGGGTGGCAGCTCATCATCATCATCATCATCATCATCAGTCTCACGATGAAAGGCTTGCAGCGAAACCTGAAGTACCGAGGCGACTCGACCAGATCGCATGAACCCTGATTGCTAACAAGCATTATAGTCAGTCATGAGACGAGAATTTCACTCAGTCCCCTTGATCAGTCGCCATTAGTTAGAACATACATAGTGCAAGTATTGCTGATCGGTTGACACAGCTCATAGTTATTTTGAAATGTCTAATGGATGGACACATTTGAAGTTTGCGAATTCCACAAAGCAATGTCTGTGATGGAAAGCTCAGATGTATTCGAAGCATTGCTCTGGCATGCTGCAACAACCGAGTAAGCAGTGAGTGCTGTGGTTACGAAGGCACCACTACGTAGGCATTGCAAATCAATCGATGATCCATTGAAACTCGATCTGTTCAGGTGGTTGGTTGTGACATGTGTTACGTATTCTCAACCACCGACTGCCTCGACCAGCCATGTTTTGTCGTGAGTGATTGAGTGAGTGAGTTGCAAGAGACGTAGTGCCGGACAAACCGAATCACAGCACAAATGCATGAAGTCACTGACAGCTGCACTGTGTGTGTCAGTCATGCTGGTAAGTGTAGACTACCTGGTTGTGGTCGGCCACACAATCAATGGCAAACGACCATTAGAGACTTTCAACCACATGACTCAAAATCGTTTGCAATGGCGCAGCTGCATGCACTCGTTGTGTTCTCCGACATTCTAATCTACTACTCAATTCCTCATCACCTCTATCTTCCTCCTCGTTCGAAATTTGTCTCACTCAATTATACTACTTCTTCAATAGTTTTCTCCAACCCTTCCTTATCTTTTCCATCAACGCCAATGCTCACACTTTACCGACAACCATTGCAAACATTCATTCATTCATTCATTATGAACAATTGAATGAAACAAAACAAACTAACCTGTACATCTTGTTCACCTAATATAGAACTGACAACATCCGTTGAGCGAAATTCTTTGGATAAATTCTTCAGTGAACTTCCTACTGATCGGCCAGCAGTCGCGTCTCTTAATTCACTCTGCACATTTTGTAGAATAGAATTTCGAAAAAAATATGTGCACTGTGAAAGAGTTTAGAAAACTGGGTGGCAGCTCATCATCATCATCATCATCATCAGTCTCACGATGAAAGGCATGCAGCGAAACCTGAAGTACCGAGGCGACTCGACCAGATCGCATGAACCCTGATTGCTAACAAGCATTATAGTCAGTCATGAGACGAGAATTTCACTCAGTCCCCTTCATAAGTCACGATTAGTAAGAATATACATAGTGCAAGTATTGCTGATCGGTTGACACAGCTCATAGTTATTTTGAAATGTCTAATGGATGGACACATTTGAAGTTTGCAAATTCAACAATGCAATGTCTGTCTGTGATGGAAAGCTCAGATGTATTCGAAGCATTGTTCTGGCATGCTGCAACAACCGAGTAAGCAGTGAGTGCTGTGGTCACGAAGTCACCACTACGTACGTAGGCATTGCAAATCAATCGATGATCCATTGAAACTCGATCTGTTCAGGTGGTTGGTTGTCACATGTGTTACGTATTCTCAACCACCACCGACTGCCTCGACGAGCCATGTTTCGTCGTGAGTTAGTCAGTGAGTGAGTGAGTTGGAAGAGACGTAGTGCCGGACAAACCGTATGACATCAGAATTGTGCAGTGTAACTCTTCTAAGAAGAGCATGCTTTTTTTGAAACGTCAAACATTATTGTACTCGTTTTGTTCAACTTTATGAAAAACACCTGTAGTCCTTCTTGCGCATAACGTTCTCTTCGCTTTGCCGACATTTCTCTCTATTTGTTGGTACTTATGTAATGCCAACCTTCTCCTTCAATAAAACCAGGGATTATTGATTTATTTTGTTCTGTTTTTCGTGACGCGACCGTATGGAACATTTAATGGTGAGTATAGGCAATCTGTTATCTGGATTCGCTAACAACAAATGCATGAAGTCACTGACAGCTGCACTGTGTTGTGTGTCATGCTGGTGAGTGTAGACTGCCTGGTTGTGGTCCGCTAGACAATCGCAGCCGACCGTTACACACATTGAACGACATGACTCAAAATCGTTTGCAACGGCGCAGGTGCATGCTTTTTATTGTCAGTCTTATATTTACTATTTTTTCGCATCTGATCATCAATTTCTTTTTCTCGGAATGCTTACTCAGTAATGCTTTATTAGTTCAAACATTTGCATGAACTGCATTTTTTCTGCGATATTATTTTTTACCGCTTGCTGATAACTTTTATGCCTACCGTTCAATTTTATTTCACTAGATTGTGTTATGAGTTGTTTCTATCTGTACTTTCACGTAACTGCTTTTACTTCTTTTACGTTTTACATTATATGATTTTAGCTTTGAATTACTTCTCGCATCTAATATATTGTAGCAACGTGATCTGTCGTTCGTACCGGTATACTACCAAGTTTTATGTTGCTCATTTTGTGTGTGATTTCGTATGCTCAGATTTTACCGACTATCATTGTAAATATTTATTCATTATAGAAAAACTGAAGGAAAACAAACTCACCTGTACCACCTCTTTTGCACTTAATTTTGACCTGCCATGATCCGATGAACGAATTTTTCTGGATACATTCTTCCTTGAACTACCAACTATTCGGGCAGATTTTGCGTACCTTATTTGTGTCTGAAGATTTCGTATTTATGTAAATAAATAAACTGTGAACTGAACTATTTCAAACAATTATTCATGAATAGTTTGCGTTTTTTTTTCAAATCTGATTTCACTATTTATTGCTAAGATTTTCATGTGTTCTACTGATCGACTGTGTGGTGAAATAAATTTTCTTCTTCATTTTCGTATATCGTACTTAGGTGTGTTCTGTTTTTGTGACGGCCCCCATTTTGACATCCTGTATGTTTTATAGGATGAATTTATCTCATGCATTCATTAAAGCAAATGGACATGGGAACGATTAGCGTATAAGCAATGCGATGCAAAGTGAAGCTGACTGGTGAGCCATTTTGAATGATCTGAAATTTAACTAAGTATTTATAGGCAGGCAATTACAGCCTAGACATGTAATAAACAAGTAAGCATACATTCGTCAGCTCAGTTTGCTGCTGAGGACTTTAGATCCCCAGAACTCACTTGTTTTGCGAGCGTTAGCTGATCAGTTGAATTTGAGATTTCGTTTCCCACCAGGGAAATCTTTGGATGTGATTGTCTGCTGTGTATTTTAGTGTGATATTTTTGTGTCTGTCCCAAGGACGTTTCTATAATGTATAAATAAATGAGATTTGGGTGCATGATTGCATTGTGCTTGCTGGGTGCTTGTAGAATATACTTTCTACGCTATTTCAAGACTTCTCTTTAGCCGTTTCGGATCAAGGTAGCCTGCCTGGACGCTGGTTCATTGTCTCGTTCGCGTTGGTCGATACGGTTCACCTATATCTGTCTATTGATTTCTGAGTGATCTGTATTCGATATTTTTAGATATCTTCTAATATTTTCAATATCCCCTTGACCTGAAAATCCTACGGTTTCTTAGTTCCATTCACAGTTCATACAACTTATTCTGCACGTGACGCGTTAGGATTTCATCTTCTAATCTGTCGAAAATGCAGTGAATTATTTTCGTTGATTTATACGAGCGACATTGTATTCAAATGGTTTCACTTATTCTTTGACTATTCATCTGTTGTTTTCGGTGATTCTTTTAATAATGGTTGATCAATTCGCTAGACACAATGAAAGCTTGACAATTAAATCGCCTAGCTCAGAATAACTAACAACATCAAAAACAATTGTCGTTTCGACAGTTTATAGCATCTCATGTTCAAATTTGCGTTTGTTTACGTTTAATTTGGTTAAGCTCTTTTATTAACTTATTTGACACATGGCGTCATTTGTACAACAACAACTTATCTATACCACTGTGCTTTTATATATATATATATATATATATATATATATATATATATATCAATGAATTAGTTTGCTTACCTTGTGAGCTACTGTCTCTGGTTTTATATCTTCATCAGACTCTTCCATTGGAATTGATTTTGAATTTCTTCTTGGTAGCTTTAAATATTCACTGGTTATCCAATCCTCTTGTTTATATTCCATGTTAGAATACTTTAAATAAATAAATAATTAAGAAAGTACAATTATTTAATTTGAAGTTTATGAATAACAAAGAAATCGGCAAATATATCTCATACTCATTTGAAATTATCAACCAATCATTGTTAGACCACCATTAGAAACCTGGAAGAACTGGACGGCCGTTTTGTCCTGGTATGGGACTACTCATCAGCAGTGCGCATCCGCGACTCCTGCACCTCGCAGAGCTCGAACCCGGGACCTTCGGTATTGTGTGCGAACGCCTAACCATCGAACCATTGGGCCGGCATCTAACGGTGTTAATGTCTAACTCTGATTGATCTAGGGATTTTGCGCTACTTCACTCATTTGTCTTTGGTAGTTACTACCTATACCCGACATGGTCACGTCATCTCACTAGAACTCCGAGAATTTCCACACGGAGCTAGTCACTAGTGAGCACATGTTACGTTATTTTTAGTTAGAGTTATGAAGATTTGTTTTTTTACACATTTGAAATCATCAATCAATCATGCGCACTGCTGATGAGTCCTATACCAGGATGAAACGGCCGACCGGTGCTTCCAGGTTTCTAATGATGGTCTAACAATGAGTGATTGATGATTTCAAATGTGTAAAAACACAAATCTCCAAAACTCTAACTGAAAATATCTCATGCTATAATTAGGTACTGTGAGAAAAAGTCTATATATATATATATATATATATATATATATATATATATATATATATATCCGGTAAAATCACAGGTTGTTTATTGAATATCTACACCTAGTTGAGGTGGCTGGAACATGTGGTGCATATTCTGAACCACCGACTGCCTCGACGAGCCATGTTTCGTCGTGTACGAGTAAGTTGGAAGAACTCTAGGGGCAGAAAAACCAAATCATGGCACAAATGCATTAAGCCACTGATAGCTGTAGACCTGGTTTTGGTGCGCGAGATATTGGCAACCGATGGTTAGGGACTTTGAATGACATGGCTCAAAACCGTTTGCAAAGGCGCAGGTGCACCCATTCTTTATGTCCGCTCAGATTCTAATCTTCTGAATCCTTCTTAACTTTCTTTTCTCTTTTTTTAAAAATCCATTCCTCAGGGGTATACATCTCGAAAGAAATATCTGATCATCAATCTTTTTGATTACTGCTGTTACTTCTACCACCTCCGCTATTATGGGATTTGAATTGACTAATACGTCTCCGTGTTAATATGGTTTGGTAACTTCAAATAATGTGCGTATGTACGAATTTCTGCGTTTTAACTGACCGATCGACAAACTAGTCTTTATTTAACAAGCACAAACTTCATATAGAAGAATTGAAGCATTCGAATTTCTCCACGTTTGACCTGCCGCCAAGTGCGCCCCGGGACCCTTCACACCCACCAGCTCCACCGCGGCCTCAAACTCTTCCAGGAAGCTCCGCAAGTCTCCTTCCTCCAACTCCTTCGGCTACGGGAGCTCCTTCCTTCTAGCAGGCAGCGACACCAAATGTAGTGAAGGAGAACACAGGTGAGGGCAACTGGATTGTATTTAACGAAAATTACAGAGTTACTCAGTAAAATTGGAAAACCATATCGTAAATCGTTCATTTGTAAAATATCAGTTCATCATATCGAACTGGACTGTTCCTGTTGCAAAACATCAATCCATTGTCACTATTCATGCGTTTCATACAAATTCCATTGCGTTCTTCTAACTCTTCCTTTCTTGATCTTCCCCCATCTTCTGCTGCCAGACAGTACGTTCAGACTCACGTCATATACTACTACTTATAAGTAGCTCGCACCATACTATCAATCAATAAAACATTTACACTTGTTACTTATAAAAAAGAATCAATCTACAAAATAAAAAACTCATTTAATCTTAAAGAACATACTTTTTCTGAACGTTGTTTATTAAAACTGTCTAAATTCTCTTGTACTAAATCTAAATGTTGTATGCTTTTATTTCCTTCAATAAACCATTGATGCTTTAGTAAATACGGTGTAATAATTCTGAACTTTGGATCTATCATTAAAAGACGTTTAACAACATCTTTCCCACTGGAGCTAATTGATTTCCATATGGTAGATTGTAGTTCAATGTCACAGTGGAGTATAGCATAGTATAAATCACTATTAGTTTTTGATTTGTATGGATCACTACCACATAACCTTGAAAGCAGAAAGAAAAAAATTATGATTAAGGGTTTAAACTACTTATAAGTAGTAGAAAAAGGTTAAATCATTTAATTAAAGCCAAATCCCAGGATTATGAGTGTTTGTTATGTATGATTAAGCAATGAGATGTTATTACCAAGAAAATCTAGGAATTACACCAGAATTACACCTGATCTAGGCACCTTAAAGAATGTAGTTGTTGTAACGGTTGCTTACGATATTTCCCGGCTAAATCTTATTGCTTAGTATTCTTGACACAAGACACTGGACAAGTAACACAAATCAGAACACGGTTGAACAGGAAGGATTGTATTCCAAAATAGCAAGGAAAAGAAGCTGGAGGTGATGGCGAAAGCCAAGGCAAAAAGGCTTGAAAGCGAAGAAGGCTAAGAAGGCTAAGAAGGCTAAGAAGGCTAGAAGGCTAGAAGGCTAAGATAAATACAATGCTAGTCTATTTATAGCCTTTACATGAGAAAACTTCTGGAACAAAATTCACGTGATCGACTGGACTGGATTTGACCAATCCGCATGCAGCTAATAAGACGAGAATTTTCTATCCTGTTCTCCAAGCTTCGATCAGGCGCTGATTGGGTAGGAAATTAGCCAATCAGCGCGCAGTGACGTAATCATGCTTTAAACTTCATCTATGTCCAACTAACAGTAGTATTGTTCAAAAGACTACAGTTGCATTAGTTACAGTAATATATGTACCTACATTTGTGAGGGATGTAAAGGAGATCCTTGATGTTCTTGGGATTTAATGAATATTTTACAGAATAATAATGATTTCTGTGCATTTCTGTTGACTTTTCCGGATTCCCCGTTATACACGCGTAGCACAAGAGTCTAAAATCTTGACAGCCAATGATTTTAGATTGATAAAATCCATCCAGACACTTTGACTTACTGAGTTGTCTAATAAATTTTTGAGACATTTCACCTATAAATTATTGGCGATAAATAGAATCATTTATACTAACATCTTTACGTGAAAAAGTAAGAATCTTTACACTCTGAGAAATACTAAATGTTGTCTTTCATTTCAGATTACACTTACTACTATAAGTTCTAAAAGAAACAGAGTTTGAGTAAGATTTAATGTCAGGATGGAGTTGAGTTATGTAGGTGGAATTTGTCATCCCGATTAATCAATAACCTTTCATTCTCACAAGTCAAAAAAATGGTTCAGTATTGATTTCAGTGTTCCCTTCCATCCGCTTCTAAGAATAAACCAGTTTAAGTAGAGGGGAGATGAAATTCATCCTATGGAATAACTTCACATGATGATATTTTTCACCTGAAGACTAACAGAGTACTTGAACTACTGATGAAGGTTCTGGAGTAATATAATAAATTTATTTCTTTATTATAACTCCTCAGATGTTCGCATCTCAAACTGAAGACTTCATCCTCTGAGATGGTACCACTAAGCTCTAAGTACATTCGCTAACTTGCAGGACTGAACTATTTGCATTGATTGACCACGGAAAATAGTAATCAATGTTATGTCTATACAATTTTTGGTGTTTGTCAGATTCAATCGTTTGACTGGTTTGTTTGAAGTTTCGATTCAGGGTTTCACATGTCAGTACCTAAATTTGAATTACTTCTCACAATCTGATCAAATTTTGTTTTATGACGAATTATCCGAAATATTATTGCTTGTGCTGGTATTTTATGCCACTGAAATTGTATTTAATGCAGTTAGAATAGAACCAATTCATGAAACTGAATAGGAATGTCACAGGAGCTCAGCATCCATCTCTGGCCTCGATAAGTAGTCCGCCACTAAATTTTCTCTTCCTGGAACGTAGCCGATACTGAAGTCGTACTCGTGAAGACGTATCATCCATCGCGCCAACTTACCACGGGGGTCTTTTGCTGTTTTCAGCCACTGCAGGGGTTTATGATCAGTCTCAACGTGGAACCGTCTACCTAGCAGGTACGGCCTCCATTTTTCTATTGCCCAGACAATCGCTAAACACTCTTTTTCGATCGCTGAATACTTCTGCTCAGAGGCTGTGAGAACGTGACTCGCATATTCTATCACACTGTTAGATTGACCCTGAGAGATGGTAACGCCACCAAGGAGCTTGTTCAACTCTTCGTCATTTCGGATGGACAATTGAAGGTGACGTGGGATGATACGGGTCTTCTTGTTGTCACGAGCGGCGTTGCCAGCCAACTCGAGAACTTCAGCCGCCAGGTATTCAAGGACAGCTGCCAAGTAAACAGGGGCACCAGCACCGACGCGTTCAGCGTAATTACCCTTGTGAAGCAGACGATGAACACGACCAACCGGGAACTGGAGACCAGCACGGGCTGACCTGGGTTTCGCCTTGGCTCTAGACTTTCCACCTTTACCGCGTCCACGCATTGTCAGTATAAGTGGTAAATTCTTATCTCAGCTTGTTGTATTTGCTAGTTATATCTATATATATATCTCGCTTTTCAATGACCAAAGATCCAATCTTCATTGCTATAACTATTTACAAGTGAATCACATAAGATCAGTTGATCAATTGAAAAAAAAGACAAACATCATTTTTGCTTACATTATATACAACAATATACCTAATGCCCATAGATCTACAGCTTTATCATATCGTCTACTTAATAACAATTCAGGTGCACAAAATATCGTTGTTACACAGACCAATTCCAAATCTAAATCTCCTGTAGTAAATGATTGAGGCGAGTAATCAGCTGTAAATAACAAAAACACAGAAACAGAAACAGAAAGATAAAACAAAAACTGACACAAATAAGAGCCAATCAGAAGTGATTAGAATGAGAAGGTCATTTGAATGACCATTAGAGAATGATCTAATGTCATTGGTCAAGAGATGGCTTCTTTTTTCTGAAGGAAGTAACAATGTATGTATACATACATATGTATAGACGTGTTTATCAGTAAATGAGCTTTTCAAGCACTCCCTGTGCTTTTACTTACAGATGTAATGATATTTAGTGTTAGTCTGTGACTAAAAAATTAAGGATTTCTTCACAAACTGTGGTGTGTGCTACTTATACGAACTATATAAGTAGTATAAGAAGAGGAAAACGGAAAGCAAATGGAGCAAAAGCAAGAAGTAAATGGAGTACCAACAGGAATGGAAAAAGGATGGAGTGTTGGAAGTCACGACTCAATGATGGTGTGCAAATGGAGTGTTCAATGTAATGTTTTCGTTTTCCTCTTCTGACCGTGAGACTTCTTTCGCGTCCCTTCTTATACTACTTATATCGTTCGTATAAGTAGCACACACCACAAAACCCCCAGTGTTTACGATATCCTAATGTTTAGTGGCGACTTGTTCATAGATGGAATGGCAAGAGTTCTGTTGCTAAGTTTCGAATTGTAAATTAAACCAAATCGTAAACCAAAGTGAACTGATGTTACCATATGGAAATTCACTTCAATCACTAAACATGGCTTGAGGGAATTTGATTTTCAGGTTTTTAGTCCCTACAGTTGGTTATTGTTGAATAATTGTCATAAAATTGAAGACAAACTACTTATTTCCTATCAGTCTAAATGAAAGCTTTATGAAATCTTAAAAATAAATATTTTTGTCAAGGAATCATAATAAACTAGCTCGTTCAGTAGGTAAATTGTTTGAAACCTGATACAAAACAGAGAAGGGTTCAAGTATTTTAATATAATGAGAAAGGATGGTGCATTATTGACAGATTTCATGTCTTTTTTCCAAATCATGTTGGTATATGTTCACGAGAAAGAAAGAATAAAGCCGCCCCCCCCCCCAGAACGGACCACGTAACTAGCTCCCAACTGTAGCTGTTACCTTGAAGTGATGGTCAGGCTTGCCTATTTCAGTGCCTAAACCCAGCTATATTTGGTTGGAATAAATGTTCCTGTAGGTTATACCATGTCAGACAGGTCATTAGCAGTCTTTATAAGGTACGTGATGAATAAGAAATATCATAAAATTGATTATATACCCCTTCGTGATCGGAGGTAAAACAAAATAGCCAATTATTCTGATCAATTCAGGCATATATTTCAAGATTTGGAGTGTGTACCTTTGTAGTGAGGGAGAACACAGGTGAGGGCCACTGGATTGTATTTAACGAAAATTACAGAGTTACTCAGTAAAATAGGAAAACCACATCGTAAACGGTTAATTTGCAAATCTTCAATCCATCATCAATCCATTGTCTGACATTTCACTATTCATGCGTTTCATACAAATTCCATTGTGTTCCCACTCTTCCTTTCTTGATCTTCCCCCATCTTCTGCTGCCAGACATTACGTTCACACTCACGTCATATACTACTTATAAGTAGCGCGCACTACACCTTCACTAGTGAATCAATCATTGCTTCGTGTTAAAATTTTCCAAAATTTATTAAATGAAACTGATATGACAATAAATATTGAGGATGCATTTATGTTAGTAACTATTTAGCAAATAATTGATATTAAATAATTCTCATTTATATCTAAATATTGTATACTTACTAATTTTTACAATCGCATCAGGTTTTCTTGTACTGAGCAATATATTTTCAGGCTAAAATAATCAAACAAATGGTCTTGTTCAAGAAGTTGAATATTTTTTAAAGAGAGAATTCATACAAAATCACAATTTTCTACCTTACATGAATTTAAAATGTATTAATGTCCAAGGTTTGATATCCATGATGATTACTTGTAGTTAACAAATCAGATTATTATTATTTGAAAAAATAATGACAAGCGGCTGATAGCATTTGACTCATTCCTCCAACATTTCTAAAATCTTAAGATACCATCATATAGTTAGCTACATGATAATATCTGTTTTGCTGACAGTCATAGAATATGCTTCAATTCCATATTGGAGGGTTGTTAAACTCAGGAATTCATTAATTTGGTGAAGTTAAGGAAGCCAAACAGAAACGATGCAACTGTTTATTGAGCCTGTTTGAATTATAGATTACTTTACTTCGTAGACGCCCAACTTCGAAATCAAGAGGCCAGATTTCGTAAGGATCCATCGTGTACTGACCAAATTGCTACATTACAGATCAATCAGTTGAATGGAATTTACCACTCTATATCAACTTCATCGACTACGAGAAAGCAGTCGATAGCGTGGATAGCAAAACAGTGTGAAGGCTTCTTCGACACTACGGTGTGAATGAGAAAACAGTTAACATCATACGGAATTCTTATGATGGATTCAACTGCGAAATCTTACACGAAGGACAGCTAACAGACTCTTTCGAGGTGAAGACCGGTGTCAGGCAAGGTTGCTTACTCTCACCCTTTCTCTTTCTCCTGGTCATCGACTGGATTATGAAGACGTCGACGTCTGGAGGGAAGCAAGGTATTAACTGGACAGTTAGGACGCAGCTGGACGATCTGCAATTCGCAGATGACCTGGCTCTTCTATCGCACACGCAACAACAAATGCAAGAGAAGACGACCAGTGTAGCAGCAGTAGGTCTTAACATACATAAAGGTAAAAGAGAAATTCTCCGATTGAACACAACATGCACCAACCAAATCACTCTTGATGTAGATGCCTTGGAGAACGTTAACAGCTTTACACATCTGGGCAGCATCATCGACGAGAAAGGTGGATCCGATGCAGATGTGAGGACATGGATTAGCAAAGCAAGGGCTGCATTTCTACAGTTGAAAAATATCTGGAACTCCAAACAAATATCAATCAACACCAAAATCAGGATTTTCAATACAAATGTCAAGACAGTTCTACTGTATGGAGCGGAAACTTGGAGAACTACCAAAGCCATCATCCACAAGATACAAGTGTTTATTAACAGCTGTCTTCGCAAAATACTTCGGATTCGTTGGCCAGACACGACCAGCAACAACGTACTGTGGGAGAGAACAAACCAGATTCTAGTGGAGGAGGAAATCAGGAAGAAGCGGTGGAAGTGGATAGGACACACACTACGAAAAGCACTTAACTGCGTCACGAGACAAGCCCTCACATGGAACCCTCAAGGAAAAGAGGAAGGCCAAGGAGCACATTGCGCCGAGAAATAGAGAAAGATATGAGAGGAATGAACAAGCATTGGACAGAACTGAAGAGGGAAGCCCAGGACAGAGTTGGTTGGAGAAAACTGGTGGGCGGCCTATGCTCCATTGAGGGTAACAGGCGTAAGTAATGTAAGTAAAAAGTTACCTAGTTTATAGTCAAGCAAAACAGTGAAACGTTTCCACAAAATTAGTAACTACATACTTGCTTATCTTCAGCATGGTGAGCAAGGATTTGGTCAGTTTTTAATTTCTTCACTCCGGCAAAATCTTTTTTTAATTATTATCGCTACGATAAACAGTGTCCAACAACTGAATGAGACACAAGCTTACCCCCTTTAAAAGTCGGCTAACTGGGGCCTTAACTAGGTCTATTCATGTACTTTATATTCTCATGCTCCTTATTATCATGGCTTTGGTCACATTTTGAACACTTACCTAAAAATTTCACGAACTAGAGTATGCTACACACTTGCTAACAGCTATTATATCAAACTTTGGTTGTGTTAAATAATCTATTTGCTATAACATCGACTGTTCTGAGCTAATCGTATACAAAATTAAATCTAGTGCTCTGTAATTCTTTACTGATCACCACCAGTTCAGTTTATGCGGCTTGGAACGTACAACAACATCATTCTAGTTAGCTGAGAAAACAAGTATACATACTTTTAAATTTCTGTGAATAATTCCATATTCATGTAAGTATCTAATACCATCAACCACTTGTCTGAAATAATGTACAATCATTTTTTCATTGTACACAGGAAACTCAGTTAATCTAAATTAAGGGAATAAGATATGTATGAGTTAAAGGTTGATTAAAAGAAGTCAAGATTCTCAAAGTTCGAATAATATGAATTCGATCGCTGAAATATTTTTGAATGAATAGGATCAGTTATGAACAATGAGCAACCGCTTTATCATTATTAAAGGGCTGACCAGCGTTTTATCTTATTCATGACAAATGATTGGGGTGTAAACGTATCTCAGTGTTCATTTCTGCGCTTAATCTTAAACCCATTAACTATCAACTTGTTAGCCATTGTGTTACCTACCGGTTTTCTGAGCCTAAATAACCAGTAGTTTAGTGGGCTAAATTTATTTACAAAAGTTTGTATTTTGCTAACGTTAATAGTTTAGACTGTAGTCGACCAACGTTTATCGGTTTATGTGCATATTGAAAGAATTGTGGATCTAACTGTAAACGGACTCAGTAGAATACACATGCACTCAACTGATGGATCTCGAATATGACTAACCTCTACTGCTAACCGTGGTCCAAATATACTGTCTTATTAAAACAATGATATTCTGACATATCCACTATTTCTAACCCCCGATTAAGGAATGATCTGTTTCAGATAAGTAGAATACTAATAAGTGGTTCTGAATTTGTTTTTCTTTTTTCTATTAGATCAGAACGACTGACAGGAGAGTTTAAAGGCCAAGAGAAAACAAAATATCGGTTCCATATAGTTTTCCACGTCGAGTCAACTCTTGAAATCTACTAGATTCTCAAGGAAACCTGCTCGTAAATGACTAAAACGGACCGGCCTTCTTTTAGTGAGTCCTGTTATGTCTAACTCACAGAGATCGTCCGAGCTTTTGGACCAACTAATCAGCCCACTTGTCTTTTGACCTGGTTAGTCAGTTGTTCATATCTGAATTGCTATTATTTACGTATGTGCATGCCTGTCACGCTTATTACATGTCTCGCTCATTTTTGTCTGACTTTAAATTCTTAGTCGTGCTTAATCGAAAGGAGTTGGCCCAAATGCATTCTCCTTTTAACTTCGCTTCGCTTTGTTTGTATGCTTCTCATAATCATGTCTGCGTGAACGTTTGTATAAAATAAACTCATCCAACCGAATCCGTATTTGGCTTCTTATTACTACCGTCGCACAAACGAAGTTCGCCTAAGTATGGGGAGATTTATTTAAATGTTCATAAATATTGGGTCGTGCTCTACCAAAGCAGTGAGCCCTAAATTGAATCTAACACAGCTATATTCCAACTCAAGAGCACAAATCTGAGATTTAAGTTTGAATTCGTTGATGTTTATGGAACAGATGGTGTGAACGATTACTATTGACCCGATTCGATTTCTAACAAAACAACTTGGAACCTGTATATAGAATTTTACCATGCTATACAAGGGGAGTTATAAACAGCAAATATCACCTTTAGTGAAAGATTTATATTATTGCCTACAATATTATTATCGCAACGTATTCCACCGTTTTAAAAAAAATTTGGAGCCTTTTACAGTTGTGGTATTGCAAATCGAATTTCTATAATTCTTCGTCTGACAATATCTATGCCTTTTAACACTAACTCTGAAATATATTGTCTATAGAATAAGAGTAGGAACCTGGTAGATAATTACAATTCAGGTGTTCATTGTAAAGTTCCTCTGTGGTCCAACCATCAGCTCAATAAACGAAAAATTACAAGTTCAAACTAAGCTTCTTAGAAAAAAGTACCTTCGAAAGAGTTGCTCCCCATTAGCAAGTTCGACAACTATATGCAACGAGAAAGGTGTTTCAAAGGTTTCCCTCAGTTTCACCTAAAAGAATTTTAAAAATCATTAAAGTCGCCTACTAGATGTTTATGGTCAAGATTTAACAAATGACCTATCGTTTTCATTCCAGAGGAATCTAATTGCTTGGCGCCAAAACTGTCAGCTTCTGTAACACTTTTTTGCATCAATTTGACGGCATACAGTTTTCTTGTGCTGATTTCCATGCCTACTGCAACAAAAGTGCCACAGGATCTGTCAAGTTTTATTATTTTAAGAATTTTTTTAAAAGAAGGTTATTTAAAAATACACAGCATACTGGGGTTGAATAGGTTTCCTTTAAAAGTAAAAGAAAAATGACTTTAATTAGCTTGTACCTTCCCAAGCTTTCGATCAGCTTATAATAATCCTCAAACTTTGTTTTCTTATTGCTTTCAGCAATCATCTGAATTCTTGCTTTAATTGGGCGGTAGTTATGTACCTCGGATACATGTATTCAATATTTCCAACATCCAAAATCTTTTTCACGAGCTAGTCTAGACCGACTGATTTCTTTTCGGTCTATTCTTTTTCTTTCATTACGGCCCCAGGTCTTTGTTATTGTCTAAGGAATAGGGTTCTAGCCACTCAGATGTCTAATTCTAGTCAGTTGGTTGTTTGTATGCCTCGGGATTTGTTTCAGGGCAGTAGGGTCCCTGGATACCAGCAGCTATCAATTTACCAGACCTGAGATCAGTTGGTTGCAATCTGAAGAATAATACAGAGAAAATTCAAATGCTAATAACAAGAGGATTTCAGAAATAAGTAATATATAGACTTTTTAGTTTATTAAATGTTAGGAAAGATTGTGCGAGGGGACCGGGGCGTAAACAAGGGAGTGGAAACACAGATAGTTGGCGGGATAGATTAAGTTAGTGATCCGAAGAGACGGCAATAGTAACAACTACTAGTTCTCAAGACATGCACCAGGCACAGCTTGTCCACGAGGGAGACGATAATCCTTATATGAGTGTGTTTTTCAAGTCTCTTCTTAAAGCTGTCTACTGAGGGGGCTGTGGTCACATCGGCTGGGAGAGCATTCCAAGTCACAACAACTCTTACTGAGCAAAAGTGTGCACGAACAAGGGTACTCGCTCTTTGATGGGCAATTTTTCGAGAATTGCCTCTATGGGAATGGTGGTGATGAGTCGGTAAGATGCTCATGTTGAAATTGTTTGGAGTTCCCAACAGGTTGCTTGCCATAATCAGGTCACCTTCGGTTCTCCCTTAACTTAGGGGGAATAATCCGAAGTGCTTAAATCAATCTTCGTTAGGTCTGCTCTTCAACCCTATCACCAATTTCTTCTCTCATCACTGTACTAGATCCAAGAGATTTATGTCTCTTTTATGGAAAGGGGGTGCGACGACGTTGTTAACCTCAAGATGCAGGCGCGCATATGCCTTAAACAGTGTTAGGAACAATTCTGGGGTGACAGCATCAAGTTTTGTTAGCGTTGGCCATGGCTGCATCCCATATATGGTTCGAACTAGTGTAGAGGCTTCCAGTGGTTAGGGAAAGGACTCTAACTGAGGATGTAAATCGCTCGCATCGTGTGGGGAAGTGTAAATTACGTGACACTTCGATTGGTCTAGTTTTAAGCCTTTTTTACTGCCCATTCCCTAATGAATATAAGGTCCTTTTGGAGCTCAGTTGAATCCTCTTCGTTTCTAATGGATCTTCGCATCATCTGAGTATATCAATGATGGTGAGCTGATTCATCTAACAGATTAATAGTTAATATAAGAAAGATGAGTGGATCTAAGATGGTCCACTGTGAAACTCCTGGTGTTGAAACTCACCAGCTCGCATGTGTTATACCTTAGTGCTCCACTTTCAACAAGACTACGGTATTTTGGTAGTGACAGTTGAATTACAATTCATCGAGATTCCGACACTCCACTTACCTAAAGACTTTACAAACTACAGTCGGTCAGTCTCCTAACAGCGCTTACTCTAGTTTCCTAAATTCTCCCACGCAGTATGTGTGGACACTGCCAAAGCTCAAAAGTTCGGTCCATTATTCCCAGTTTCAACAACACATTCAAAAAATTAGATTTCGGGTAATTCATTATGGTTTTCAATAGTAGTCCTATATATCAGACCAGTCATACAGTGCCCAAGTTCCTTTTTAACCCAGCGACTATGAACGATGATCAAGCTATAGCATCCATACGTTGTGCAATATGTTATCCAATTGTTAGGTGTTGAGCGCGTCAATCGAAGACCTTAAACACTATCTTTGTTCAACGCGAACTATTATTCTACAACACTGTAGTCCCACATACTTACCGCAGAATACAGAAGACTGAGTTCGATATAGGGAGTAAAACTAGTAATCGGTAACGATAAGCTGAACCAGTCAGTGCAGATAAAATGTGGAAGTACCTCTGAATTTGCGATGAGACAGAACTAAAAACAGTGTAACTTCAAATAACCAGTTACAGACTGACGAAGGACTTATGTATCATAATGTTTCCACTTAGGCGATTGACCAATAATAAGAATTAAGATGTGACGCCAAAATGAAGTTGTGAGCATTAAACAATGGAAACAAAATTAATAGTGCCACTACAGAAACGAATTTAGCAAGCCAGCACATAAGCTATTCACGTGAGAGGAATTTATCGGGAACAGGCTGATTTTCAGTGTTGTTTAATTTATGAGTACGATAATTGCTTCTTGACTGCAGAGATTTTTAAAAAACATTTTTAATTGAGTCTGTTAGAGATACTGTGCTAAAGGTAGCCTTAGAAATGTGACTACTAACTGCAAGGGAACACCGCTTAAGGCCGATAATTCGTCACTTATCCCTGTGATATGTTGACTGATTTCATCACTTTGTTTACTGCATTCCTATGTATCACGTCTACCATAAGTATGTTAGCATCAGTCATTTGTAGGACCAAATAAAAACCCTAATCATCGAAAGTAAAGTTGATTCACTGTGGGGAGATGTTAAACATTAGGTATTAGTGACTATCTGTGATTTAACAATTAGATTTACTGAAAAACAAATATATTATATGCCTTTTTGTATTGTATGTTTAGTAATTGTCGAAGTTACTGGTTAATAGAAATTACTTTGCTTCCTATTTTTACTTCACTATTCTTAGCCTGTACTCCGAATATACTCTGTACCACAAGACGCCCACGATTCAGATGAATGCGAAGAAGGTATAAGTGAAGAGGAGGGAGTTATTGTTGAACAACCAAACTCTGAACCAAATAAGACGGAAGGACTCAGTCAAGACAGTTCAGATCAGTCCAGACAAACTGAAGTTGGTTCTCAATTGAAGACAGTTGAAAACGCTGAACTGTAACTTTCATAATATCCTTAACAAGTACCTTGATTTCGTCATGGTATTTTCTATTCGGGATTATATATATATATATATATATATATATATATATATATATATATATATATATATGTCCTACTTACAGTATGAATTAGAGATTGGAATTCGATTAAAAAATGTTAGACTAAAAAATATAACCACCGATATTTTGTACAAACTTTATTCTTATTCCTAAACTTTTGACTTCAATTTACAGATATTCAACTTCCTACTTCCGGCTCTCTTCTATCCATTCTACACGCTGTACAACCCTTCCTTATTCGCTGATATCCCCCTTAATTTGTGAGCTATATTACTACAGTTTACTTAAATTTTAGTGATCAGTATGGATTTTATCTTTACTTACCAATGCATTGTCTACTTCACCATGAAAGTTTAAGCATTGCTTTGGTTATACCTGTACAGTTGCATTATTGCTGTTTTTTCTATCTCTCTCAACCCTTCTCGGAACCCTATTCACTGTGGAACGTTCATGATGCCTCTACGCAAAATGCAGCTTCTGTATGGGCTCGTCTAGGTTACAGCTTGCATCAAGTGCTTTTCAACTGACGATTCCCAACAAATTCACGCCTGAATTATGCAAACCACCCAAGAAGTCTGCTGTGCACCTCCATTATTTGTACTCACACCACAATAGTGTGGCGTAATGTGTTCTGTGATCGGCCTTTTTTCCTTCGGCCATGAGGAATCCAAGCTATGGCCTGCCTAGTGATGCAGTCCGGTGCACTCGGTAATGTGTGTCCTATCCACCTCCAGCACTTTTGCCCAATCTCTTCCTTCTCTGAAATCTGGTTCGTACTCTATCCAACATCATTTTAGGGCATAAGATAATGAATCGCTATTACCTAACTCACAGTAAAAGAATGCAAAGGCTTTTTGGACGAGATATGAGTTGACAGGTCACTCTCCCAGTTTCCGCGTCACCCCAAAACCGCAGTTATTGACGACAGGGTGAATGAAGCAGTCTTGAAGCAAGAATAAATATAAGCTTTATCGAAGAACGTCCAAAGCTGCTTTGATGCACAAGACCTTGACACATCTTAGGTCCACTCTTGTTTCTCATGTACATAAGCGATGTAGGTAAAACTATAAAATTTATAGGATCGGATCTATGTGCGGATGAACTCAAAATAGTATACAGCTTTAGCCAGTATTAAGTTTGACCTTGACAACTTATCTACATGGAGCAGAGCATGGTAGCTGCATTTCGGCCACAACAAACGTGGTATCATGAATTTTAGTAAGCATCAACATGAAATTCCATTCTGCTTGCAAAAATGTAAGGTTCAGACACTCAGTGCATAATGTGGGTATCCAATACTCCAGAAGCCTAAAATGTGAAAAAATTCCTCTTCTGTTATCTCTAAATCTAGATGAATTATGAGGTTGTAACGTGTAGTCGCAATTGACTATAACATAACTACAACAAACCAATTACGTGTCCATTACTAAATCTCTGTGAATCAAGGACAGTGAAGAAAAGTTAATCCATACTAAAGAATATATTTTCTAGCGATTTTGGGATATCGAAAGAATACCGAAATGGCGCCAGAAAAGAGGATCGAAATCATAGGGATCGGTGAAGCCAAAATGGCACTAACACAAAGGGATAATTTGCACGTACAGAGTGATATAAACAAAGAGTACAGAAAAACAATCACTGGTACAGTTGTTAATAATAAACCAGTACCGTTCTCTTCATAAAAGGGGTCACTACAGGGTTTATAAATACGAACGTCTTGACAAATGATGCTAGGCTCAGACTATCCAAAGTGTTCATAAGACCGTCATTTGAATACTGCTAGCCTATATTTTCAGACATGAATATCGTAGACAAGGTACTGGTATAAAATATCCAAAGAGGCATCACACGGCGACTGCTAGGATAGAACCATACTTCTGACTACACAGAAGGATGCAAACATCTTTCCCTAAAACCTCTATGGAGCCATCGGTTGAAAAACAACCTAATACTCTTCTATAAAATAATATATAGCCTCTCGTTTGAAATGTCCTGCCCAATTATGAGCCACGACCCTACTTACAGACTCAAAATCAATGCACATACACTACTAACGCCAAGACACAAAGAATCTTAAGGTTGTGATTTATTTGAAACACGATGCAGTTTATTGTAGAACAGATTGCCAATTTCTATCCGTATCTGTGAGACAATCACCAGGTTAAAGAAGCTACTAAAGCCGTTGTTAGACTAAAATAGCTTCATTCTAACTAACATCAGTAGATAACGCCTGAGTCCTCTTACCCCTGAAATTCTGGATTTCCTAAATATTTTAATTCACGTCATCTTATCTTCCACAGCAATTTTAGTTTTAATTTCTGGTAGACAGATAAATCAGAATGCCTGTAGGTGTTGCTCAGCTACTGTCGAACATAGATAAACTCAAACTTTATGTATCATTGTATATTTCTTCTTGTTTATGGATTAACGGTATTGTAAATTTTTATTTCCCTGTTCAATTAACATTCAAACACCTTGCTTTCTTACCTATTTATCGCATTATGAATTCTTAACACTGTTTCTCGTCATATGATTTCGTGAACTGCCTATCATTCCTATCTGCAAACTACCTATTCATTGACCCGTATCTTACAATTTATAGCACTAGTTAACTCAATGGCAGTGTGATATGCTACGTGGATATTCAGTCAAACATACAGAAGCTAAAGTCGACCGGTTGACCTGGCAGGGAAATTATATTTTGTCCGGATGTATAGAAATAAAGCTTAAACGAAAACATGAATAAAATGTGTCCTATCCACTTATAGTGCTTCTTCCTGATTTCCTCATCCGCTGGAACCTGGTTCGTACTCTGTCCTGGGCCTTCCTTACTGGTTCTGTTCACCCTAATTTATGGCTGTGGAACATCGCCATTAAGAATAGAGGATGTTCTTAAAATACATGCACTCGATCATAGGTTTCATAGAAGCATTGCTCCTATATCCTTTGACAACCGAGTAAGCAATACTATTGTTTGGAAACGGTTCCTATGTGAGGATGGCATATCAATAGATGAAGTGCTGAAACTTCATCAGTTGAGGTGGTTGGGACATATTTTACGAATGCCCAACCGCCGACTGCCTTGACAAACGATGTTTTTTGATGTAGTAGGTTGGAAGAAAGCTGGGGATGGCCAGACCAAAACATGAAATCACTGACTACGGGACCGATACATGTTAGTAGATAAGGACTACCTGTTTGGGGTCCTCATGACGTTTTTTCACTTTTTAAAATTATTTCTCTTGATCATACTTCTTGAATCATGTTTTCAGTCATGTGGTGTCAGTTAACAATTTGATCTCTCTGAACTGAAGTGGTATAGAAACTTGGACATTCGAAATACTATAAATTATTATGCCTCAACTAAGTAGGGAAGTAAGTACTCACTTTAGATATGATGTTCAATGCTTAACTGATATTTACTGCAAGCTCCTACCTAACCTAGATCGTTAAAAATTCACAGGACAGAGTTCTACGCCAGCTATACCCAAATCTGTTTTAATTGTCTTCACTACTATTTTTCTCTCTCAATTTAGCGGCATTTTAAGTAAGTAAGAATAAGTAGAAACTTGTTATTTAGTGCGAAAAGTCACATAATACTTCATAGTGAACATAATCGGCAGTGCAGTTACGTAAGTTTGATAGTTATTTAACTTAGATTGGAAGATTAAAGTTGATCTAACATTACTGAAAGAGCCACTTGGAAGAGCATTCCTATATACAGACGATACCAAAACACTATACAGCTTTAAGTCTGATGATTTTTTACTGAAAATATAGCCCAGATTCATAGTGGCTTTCATAACCTATCTATCTGGAGCTAAACATGTCATTTATCAACTGACCACATCAAATATGGCACCTAGCATGTCGGTAAACATCACCGTGAAATACTACTTTATTGATATACATGTAGGATTCTGACACCTATAAAAGCACACGATCTGGGGCATTCATTACTGAGAAAGTCTAAAATTTGAAGAACATGTCTCTGCTAGTATCTAAATCTAGAGGAATATTGCGGTCCATAATATAAATACTTCCTGACAAAGGAGGTTAGGCTTACCCTCTTCGAAACGCATGTAGAACCCTGCCTTGGATACTGTTCATTGAACTCTAGAATATGAACACAAAAAAAGGTAATGTATGGAAGAAGAATGTCCGAAGAAGCTTCACCTATCGACTGCTAGAAAGTGACCATAGTCTCAATTACACAGCTAGATGCAAACATCTTTCTATAGAAACTTTATGACATCGGCTATCGAATGCTAACACATTTATTGTGAAAGAATGTTCAGTTAGAAAAATAAATTACAGGGTACAGTGGCAACCTGAACTGATGTACTTACGAACGAAGTTCTACGTTGTAACTGACTGACAGACTGACTGACTGTGCATATCTTCATACAATAAGGTTTGGTGACCAGTCATCTACGGGTTTTCAACCAAATGTAAAAATACTCAACAATTCCGATGTTGCTCAAGTGGTGCAGTAAATATATTCGCGATTGAAAATGTTGTAATAAAAAAAATAGTCCATTGGCAGAATATATATGTATACAATACCGAATACAGAATACAAAATACCATGCTCAGTGACAGAATCAAGGTTTAGGTGTTCTTTTATGAAAAAGTATTAATTCCAAAGGTACTGACTGATCAATGTACTTGTTAAGGATATTATGAAAGTTACAGTTCAGCATTTTCAACTGTCTTCAATTGAGAACCAACTTCAGTTTGTCTGGACTGATCTGAACTGTCTTGACTGAGTCCTTCCGTCTTATTTGGTTCAGAGTTTGGTTGTTCAACAATAACTCCCTCCTCTTCACTTATACCTTCTTCGCATTCATCTGAATCGTGGGCGTCTTGTGGTACAGAGTATATTCGGAGTACAGGCTAAGAATAGTGAAGTAAAAATAGGAAGCAAAGTAATTTCTATTAACCAGTAACTTCGACAATTACTAAACATACAATACAAAAAGGCATATAATATATTTGTTTTTCAGTAAATCTAATTGTTAAATCACAGATAGTCACTAATACCTAATGTTTAACATCTCCCCACAGTGAATCAACTTTACTTTCGATGATTAGGGTTTTTATTTGGTCCTACAAATGACTGATGCTAACATACTTATGGTAGACGTGATACATAGGAATGCAGTAAACGAAGTGATTACTGTCAAGAAAACAGTTAACATATAGCAATTAAAAGCGACGAATGACCGACCTTAAGCAGTAAACTATGTACGTCATACCCACCGCTAAACAGATTGAAATGATATACAAAAAGTTGTGGAAACATTAGTGATATCCGTTAGTAAGTTAAATCAAAATGTTAGGAGAAATCAGTGGATTTCAGAAGCCTTTACTAAACTGTTAGATGCTCAGCAACTCAGTTTATCAGCCCCATAAATACGATGAGGATTAAATTCAACTTGAACATAAACTGAAAAAGTTCCTAGGCAATGATTTAGAGCAGTGGCGGAGAGTGAAACCGGATATACAGTAGCTACATGCAGTAGTAGAGAACTATTCAGACTTATCACGGAAACTGGAACTAGAAATACGGTTGTTAGTGAGAATTTCTTAGAAAAAGACGAGACTATTATCCAGGAAGTTGGACTGATGTGTAAGACACTTTAAGGAACAGTTCAAATGGTACTCTGTCATATATAATTCTCGAACTACCTAAACGGCGAATTTATGTCAGTTCTCTAGTTCCTAGTGAGATTACAAACGCTATAGGCAATCTACAGCAAAGTAGAGCAGCACGACCTGAAAGATTAACCCTAGAGATTTTTATGGATGACAGTTCTTTTTTAGCAGTTAAATTAACTGAGATCTTAGCTGCAATCTGGGAACCGGACGTAATCCTATGGGACTAGTTTCGATTCCTAGTCTATAGAAAAAGGACTAGAGCTTACGAATAGGTGAACTCCAGAAAACCAAGCTTGTTTCAGACCTAGACCAGGAAACGTGGATGTAAACAGACCAACTGTTCACATTTCGACGGGTTGTAGAAGATAGGCATATTTTCCGACATACAACATTAGTGGTATTTCTGGAACTTAAGGAGGCGTTTGAATCTATTTATTGTGAGATTCTGTAGCTATGTGCCTCTGTGAAAGGCACATCAAAGAAGTACAAACCCTTTACTCGAACACTGATAATCGAGTCAGAGCTTGTCGCGAATAGGCATTGGAACTAATTATTTGAATTAGTTTTCCATTAACTCATCTTTAGTTTAATTTCATCATGCTTTCGGAGATAATTATTCCGTTGTGCTAAATGTTAACTATGACCAACAGCATCATGGTTATTCTTTCGTTGAGATCAATTTCAGCTTAGCGTAGTCAAGTGGATAGGCTATAATGAGTGAATGCTGTTACTAATATGTAGCATTTCTGCTAGAAACCCGTAAAAGCATATAAATATTGCATTTTCTTTCAGAAAATATAATAATAGGATGGAAGTACACATATAATGTGACAAATATACACATATATACACACACACACACACCTTATTAGGATCTTTCAACAATAAATATTTTCCTTCAGGCATTTTCATAAAGAAATCAATAATACATCGTAGAATACCCCAAGCATTATCCATATTCAAATTTAATTGATTAGCAAATTCTGCAGGTTTAAATTGTTGTGTACCCAAAATAACATGACGAGATGAATCACACGGATTAACACGAGAAACAAAACTATAAACAAACAAACGGGCAAAAATTAGAACATAAATGATTGTAGAGAAAAGACACTAGTTGATGAAACGATTAAAATACCAAAAGATTATTATCGTATTGAAAGTTAATCAATCAACAGCAACGTAGAACTTCGTACGTACGTACATCAGTGTTCAAGTTGCCCCATACCACATTAGCACAGAAATGCAATTGTCAATTCCAATACCATAGTAGTAGTAGTAGATGTAGTAAAAGTATTAGCAGTAATCGGAGAGATAAAGGTTCGAAGATATTATTCAAGAAGTAGGATCTAGTGAAATAAACATAAAAAGATAAAGTGATGAAGAATTCAGAAGGTTAGGATTTAAGAGAACACAAAGAATGGATGCACCTGCGCAATTGCAAACGATTGTCAGTCATGTCATTCAAGGTCTCTAACGGTAGATTACTATCATCTTGCTGGCCCCAACAAGGTAGTCGATGCCTACCAACATGACTCAATCCACTTGTCAGTGACTTCAAGGATTTATGCCATATATTGGTCTGACCGCCCCTAGCTTTCTTTCAGCCCATTCCAACATCGCAAACCATAGCTTGACGAGACGGTCGGTGGTTAGGCATACGTAACACATGTATTGAAAGCAGGAACATTCAAAACAAATATCTATTCTCCCTATTGATAAAAATATACAGCAGATATGATGAAACTAAGAGTAACACTGACAATAACTTATGCAGAATGACAATGATTACATACCAAATATGAATACGGAATGTTCAAATCGTAATTAGTAAACAATGAATACAAGTTATTCTCTAGCCGTTCAACGCAACACAGCACAACACACTGTATAGCATGATAAAAAGTATAACATCCCGTAAGAAACAAACAAATAAATGGGACAGCTACAATAACACAATGTAAATTCCCTATGTTTTAAATATACCTACTATTCTTACACATTTGAAATCATTAATCAATCATCATTGTTAGACCACCATTAGAAACCTGGAAGCACTGGACGGCCGTTTCATCCTAGTATGGGACTCCTCAGCAGTGCGCATCCACGACCCCTGCTCCTCGCAGGATTCGAACCCGGGACCTTTGGCATTGTAGGCGAACGCCTTACCATCGGACCACTGGGCCGGCATCCAACGGTGTTAATGTCTAACTCTGGTCTAACAATGATGATTGATTAATGATTTCAAATGTGTAAAAACGCAAACCTCCAAAACTGTGCCCCAATATACCTACTATTCAAAAATAAAATATGTAAGGAACTAAATCACATAAGCCGTTAAAAATGACTTGGCAATTGTTAGGATATTCATCAAATATCCTAAGAAAATTATTTTTGTAAGTTTAATTCTATTGGTCGATTCCTACTGGTCAATATTATGCTCGTTCTAACTGTCAATGTCACAGACTTCAATGTTGTTTCCTATTCGACCTGACTGTATAAATACGCATTATGTGTAACATTTTATGACCCAGACCCGGATTGCTAGTCCGCGATCCTGATTCTCATCTGGACTCGGACCTCGTACTTTCTGGATGCTTGTAGAATACATGTTCTACTTCATATCAAGTCTTTTTCTTTTACTCAATGGAGGTTTGGGACGCTCACCTGTCGTGTCGCCGGATCCTCGATCCTCGCTCTCATTTACTGACTAAGGTAGACTCGTAATAGGCTAAGCATATCAGTTGGAGTGTTTACGTGCATGCGTAACAGAAATTTAATACAGTATAACGATTTCATTCCGAAATTCTAGCTTGAAAAATTGACTGAATACATTGATAGTATTTATTTTATTTTATACGAAAAACCCAAAGACTTGGTGATTGTAAATCACACCCAACTTCAAGCACTACGTGTTCAAGTTAAAAACTTCTACTTTACAAACTTTAGTTTGACTATTCGAGCTGTAGTAGCCGAATGCATAAAACTACTAGAAATTTTCATCCTACGACTAACATACAATGATTAAAATTCTTTCTTGCAGATTTTGACCCTCAATGACATGGCTCAAAATCGTTTGCAATGGCGCAGGTGCAAATATTATTTGTGTTCTCTCAAATTCTAATCTTCTGAATTCCTCATCATCTCTATCTTTCTTTTTCTAAAGTTATCTCACTGAATTATACTTCTCGAATCGTATCTTTGAACCCTAATCTTCTCCATTACTGCTAATACTTCTACTATCGCTACCACTGTTAGATTTGAACTGACAGTTGCGTCTCTGTGCAGATGCAGTATAGCAACCTGAATTGATGTACTCATGTACGAAGTTCTACGTTGTAACTGACTGAGTGACTGATTGACATTTTCCAAACTTACCAAAAGAAGTAACTGTTTTAAACGTAAGTTAAATACAATGATACGTTTCATTATGCATTTTCGTCAACTACTTACATGGATAACACTCAAGTATATGAATATTAATCTGTAACGATAATCAATTTTGTTGAAGTAAAGAGACAATGTGCCTTATTTTTTATTCTAAAGTTCATGATACTTGTTATACATAAAGAAAAGACTCCAGTAAACTATGGTGCTGAAGATAGATAATTTTAATGAGGGCGCGTTAGCTTAACTTCATGTGAAACGACAATCAGTTAGGTTACATCTCTGTGCTGATGTGGTATGGCAACATGAACTGATGTATGTATGTACGAAGTTCTACGTTGCTATTGATTGATTGATCAGTTAAGTTAGAAACCATTGAACATTCGTCGTTCAATGAGTAAATTGATTTAAAAACTGCAAACAATGCTCATTAAAATGACTGACTTAGTGACAGCTCATAACCAAGTGTTAATTATCATCAAGTAACAGGTGAATTATGACTTCTCTGAGCTACTAAAATTGCCCAAATGAAAATTTGTTTCAATACAATTGAGTAAAGCCTGTTTTTGTATTTAAGTATTTGTGTACGTTTGTTTAGGACCTTGCGAATTTTTATAAAAAATTAACATCAATTGACCAAGTTTAAATCCTTGTTGTGTGAAGGCTTGTGATATTTCCTGTTTGTCAACCTGAAGCAGTTACACATTTGAAATCATCAATCAATCATTGTTAGACCACCATTAGAAACCTGGAAGCACTGGACGGCCGTTTCGTTCTGGTATGGGACTCATCAGCAGTGCGCATCCACGACTACTGCTCCTCGCAGGATTCGAATCCGGGACCTTCGAGAATGTAGGCGAACGCCTTACCATCGGACCACTGGGCCGGATTGATGATTTCAAATGTGTAAAAACGCAAACCTTCAAAACTCTGCCCGAAAATATCGTAATAGTGCTCACTAGTTACCAGCTTCTTCGTGAAGAAATTCTCGGAGTTCTAGTTGAGCAGACGTGACCAATGGAGTTCAACCCTGTCGGGTGTAGGCAGTAACTACCAAAGACAAATGGGTGAGGTCGCAAAATATCCCTAGATCAATCAGAGTTAAACATTAACACCGTTTGATGCCGGCCCAGTGGTCCGATGGTTCGACGTTCGCGCAAAATACCGAAGTCCCGGGTTCCAGTCCTGTGAGGTGCAGGAGTCGTGGATACGCACTGCTGATGACTCCCATACAAGGACGAAACGGTCGTCCAGTGCTTCCAGGTTTCTAATGGTGGTCTAACAATGATTGATTGATGATTTCAAATGTGTAAAAACGCAAACCTCCAATACTCTGCCCCAAAACCTGAAGTAGACCAGATAGGGTTCGGAACCTGTGAAATCATCAATCAAAGATGCTTGATCAGATTAATTTGAATTCACCATTACAGTACAATAATATATATATCACACAGTAAACATTAACATACCCTAATTTCAATTGATCCGCACCTGCCAATATACTACACACAGTCCATCCAGCTAATTTAAACGCATTATTCTTTATTTCAGCGGCTAAAACAGCACCTCGTTGTGTGTCCAGTTTAGTACGCCAGTCAACACCACCACAATACTGAAAGATGAAAAAAAATGTGTCATAGAGTTGAGAGTTGTTGTCATAGATATGTAACAAATTGTTATTATTATTATTACATAAAATCACTGTATTAGTGTTTAACTACTGTTGTGGTGCGAGCTGCTTATAAGTAGTATATGACGTGAGTGCCAACGTATTGTCTGGCAGTAGAAGATGGGGGGAAGATCAAGAAAGGAAGAGTTAGTTAGAACACAATGGAATTTGTATGAAACGCATGAATAGTGACAATGGATTGGCGATATTTTGCAACAGGAACAGTCCAGTTCGATAGGATGAACTGATATTTTGCAAATTAACGATTTACGATATGGTTTTCCGATTTTACTGAGTAACTCTGTAATTTTCGTTAAATACAATTCGGTCGCCCTCACCTGTGTTCTCGTTCGCTACACTGTAAGATTCCATATTTTGGACAGACAATTTCATTATTTGAAAAAAAATCGACTGAAACAGACACATGCAGAATATTAAATTGAATATTTGAGTCCAAAAATAAAATTTACAGAAAATAATGTGATTGAAGTGGAAAGTTTTTTTTAGCGATTGAGTATAACTTAAACATTTTTTCCGTTTGTTTTACTAACATCAGAGAAAAAAGAAACTAAGAGGAAGAGTATAAAGCGAAAGGATTTATGATAGGATTAAAACACAACAGTGTTTTCGCTTTAGCATCAGTAGTAGTAGGTTAGCACTAACCGAACTATTAGAAGAAAGAACAAGTGATCGATATGGTTACGCATAGAAATTTAATGACACTATGGAGTAGATTGTGTAGAACAAAATAATACATGTCAAAAAATCATATTACATTAAGCTAGATTTTTACCAAGCCCTATACTCTAAGAACTTACTTACTTACTTACTTATGACTGTTACCTCCAATCGAGCATAAGCCGCCTACCAGTTTTCCCCAAGCAACTTTATACTGGGCTTCCCTTTCCAGTTCTGTCCAATTTTTGTTCATTTTTCTCTATTTCTCAGCGTAATGTGTTCCTTGGCCTTCCTCTTTTCGTCTTACCTTGGAGGTTTCAAGAAAGGGCTTGTCTTGTGACGCAGTTGAAGACTTTGCCTGGTATTGAGAGAGGAGTGATGCCTCTGTAGTTCTCACACTTGCTAAGATCGCCTTTCTTTGGTATTTTGATCAGGTATTCTTCTTTACAATCTGGTGGTACTTGTTCCTCATCCCAAATCTTCTTGAAGAGAATGTGAAATATTTTTGTAGTTGCTTCCACGTCTGCTTTCATTGCCTCTGCTGGAATGTTGTCTGGTCCTGCCGACTTTACGCTCTTGATTTGTCTGATGGCCATATTGATCTCTTCATTTGTTGGTGGGTCAACATCGGTTGGGAGGTCCGTAGATGCTGCTTCGATGTTGGATGAGTTCAGTGGAGCTGGTCGATTCAAGAGTTCCTGAAAGTGCTATACCCACCCATTTTGCTGTTCTTCAGTGTTGCTGATTACTTTGCCTTCCTTGCTTTTCACTGGTTGTTCTGGTTTACGATAGTTTCCAGCGAGCTTCTTTGTAGTTTCGTACAATTGTATCATGTTTCCGTCTCTTGCAGCCTTTTCCGCCGTCATTGCTAGATCTTCCACATATTTTAGTTTGTCAGTTCTGATGCGCTTCTACACTTCCCTGTTCGCTTCTGTGTATTCAGCTTGTGCGGTAACTTTCTCTGCTCTTGTTCGGCTGACATTGATTGCTGCCTTCCTGTTCCTCCTTTCTTCAATTTTTGCAAGAGTATCAACAGAGATCCATTCCTTATGATGGTACTTCTTGTGACCCAGAACTTCGTGACATGTTGAAGTGATTGCCTACTTGATCCCTTTCCAATTGTTCTCCAATGTTGCTTCCTCTCCATTGAGTAGATCCTGTAAGGCCTGGAACCTATTGCTGAGTAATATCTTGAATTCGTTGAGTTTTACGGTAACCCGAATCACGAAAAGTTGTGTTCTATTGAATCATTATCGACTTCTAGTGAACACATCAAAAAACGAACTCATAGGCGAAGTGAACATTCGTCGGAACGCAAAAACCACAAGTTATTTACATCAATAAAAAAATAAACTTGTGCATCGGAAGGGCTTAACAACCATTTCTAAAGCCATCAATCAATCATTGTTAGACCACCATTACAAACCTGGAAGCACTAGACGGCCGTTTCGTTCTGGTATGGGACTCATCAGCAGTGCGCATCCGGGACTCCTGCACCACCTCGCAGGATTTGAACCCGGGACCTTCGGTATTGTGCGCGAACGCCTAACCATCGGACCACTGAGCTGGCCGGCATCCAACGGTATTAATGTCTAACTCTGATTTATCTACGGATTTTGCGCGACCTCACCCATTTTTTTATGGTAGTTACTGCCTACACCCGACAGGGTTGAACTCCATTGGTCACGTCTTCTCACTAGAACTCCGAGAATTTCCTCACGAAGAAGCTAGTCACCACTAGTGAGCACTGTTACGATATTTTCGGGCAGAGTTTTCGGAGGTTTGTGTGGGTGAGGTCGCGCAATCGTGTGATGACAGTCATTTGTTGGTTTATGCCAAAGTCGTTTTGTAGTTCATAAAAACGACTACCACATAATATTACAGAAAAACTTACACGTGAATCAAATTCATTCAATGCATGTATACATATAAATTGTGGATTAGCTGATTGATCATCTCCAGTTGGTTGTAGTACACCATTCACTTCACAACGTACAACCATACGAATATCATTGCCCAAATCAAATACACGATAACGATAACCAACCGAGCCTAATTCTTCTTTACTATCATGATTTTTCTTTTGTGTTGAATGTTGTTCTTCTTCTTCATCATCATCCTCTTCGTCATCATCATCTTTGAAAGGATTTCCTTCAGGGAATGCATATGTTTTACCACCCTAAAAACCCAAACAGGGGGGGAGATAAGTGATAAATTTAAAATTCTCAATAGAAGAAATAGCAAACAATGATATGTGCTTTGATTAGATTACATCATCAGTCAAAAATTGCGATGTATGATAGATATATCTGACTGATAATCAACTATGTTATAATTCTCTCTCAGTAAAATCCAGCTATTTCTATTGCTTAGTATTCTCTGACAATCCCCACTCGTCAGTCAGTCAGTCAGTTGCAACGTAGAACTTCGTACGTATGTGTACATAAGTTCAGGCTGCCATACTACATTAGCACAGAGACGTAAATGTCAATTCAAATCCCATAGTGATAAAGATAGTAGAGGTATTAATGGCTATGAAGAAGACTAGGGTTCGAAGATATTATTCAAGAAGTATAATTCAGTGTGAGATAAGGTTAGAAAGACAAAGGTAGAGGTGCTGACGAATCCAGAAGATTAGGATTTGAGAGAGCTCACAGAATGGATGCACTTGCACCATTGCAAACGATTTTGAGCCATGTCGTTCAAGATCTCTAACCATTGATGACTTTCGTCTCGCGGACCCCAACCACGTAGCCTACATCTACCAACATGACTCAGTCCACTTGTCAGTGACTTCATGCATTTCTGCCATGTTTTGGTTTGGCCACCCCCGCTTTCTTCCAACCTACTCCGATACCACAAAACATAGCTCGTCGAGGCAATCGGTAACACATGTCCCAACCACCTCAACTGATGAAGTTTCATCACTTCATCTATTATCTGCCATCCTTACCTAGTACTCGTTTCCTAATGGCAGCATTGCTTACTCGGTTGTCCCATCTATGATCGAATACTAGTAACCTACGAACATCTACTCTTAACGGCCATGTTTCGCAGTCAAATAGGAGAACGGAGCGAAATGCTGCGCTATCCCCACTCGACAAGTCCCCAAATCAGAACACAGTTGAACAGGGAAGAGATTATATATTCCAAATAGCAAGGTTAAATGGAACTAAGAAGCCAAAGTGAAGGTGAAATAGGAACAACGTTAGTATCTTTACCGTTTTTACATGAAAAGCTTCTGGAATGTACTCCAAGTATCGACTAGCGCTGATTGGATAGGAATCAGCCAATCACAGCACAGCTAACGCAATTATTCTTTATTCTATGTCCCACTAACAGACTAATACCAAAATAAGTATGCAATCTATTCAATATTTAGTTAGAGAGTTTTGAGTTACACTTTTTGCTGTATGAATGAAGAACTATGGTATCGAAAAAAAAACTCTCAACTTCAGTCAACCTACAATGTGCTTTTAAACCTATGACTGAATAGTCGAAATTTGAGTTAGATGAAGTCCCATGATAGCCAGTGGTCAACTATATGCTCATAAGCCATTCGTTCTTTTCTGTTCTGCTAAAGTAACTGCTTTGGTAGAACAAAAAGAATGACCTACGTCCGATTCCAAGAACATAACCCGAAAGTCCGCAAGTGAATGAGGTTAAAGGCTCTGAGCAATGCTGTTACAAAATATCTCTATGACAAAAGGGGGACCAAGTCGATCATCGATTGAAATCTTTGAACGGCATCAACCAACAATCGGATCACGTTCTTCTTAAGTCCACTGAAGCCATGGTTATAAACGGGGTAAACCATGGTGATTCCTTTGTCGGTTGATAACATTATTCCACCGAATTTGTCTCCTTATTTTAATTATACATGACTTCGTGCGAATTCATAACTTTTTATTGACTAATCTTAACTGATGTTATTCTTAATTGCTAGTAATTTATGATTCAGTTACTTCACACTGTATAATCAATCGATAAATTATTATTTCTTTATGATCTCTTGTTATCATGTCTTATGATCACCTGACCGTAGCTGCTACCTTGAACGTGGTGGTCGGGCTTGCCTATCGTGTGATGACCCAACCAGGCTACATTGGCTGGAACATATGTTCCTGAAGGTTCTACTATGCCAGGCAGGTCGATTGGAGAACGATGAGACTAAAAGCAGCTACTCAGCTACTTGGTACGTATACATGTTTGTTCAAGTTGTCATACTACATTGGCACAGAGACATGGAATTATCAATTCAAATCCCATAGTGGTAAAGGAAGTAGAAGTGTTGGCAGTAATCGAGAAGATTAAGGTTCAAAGATATGATTCGATAAGTGCATTCCGTGTTAGCTCCGGTCTTGAAAAGGCCTTACCACCAGAGACAGAAATCCGTAGGGGTAAGGTGAGATGTGACATTTTTAGGGTTAACCTTTTCTAACCCCCTTCCTTCTTTGTGATAAGGCAGAATTGTTGCAGATGCTGGTTGTCCGAGAGAAACACCTTACCGCTGTCACACTCCTCCACAGCCAGCAGTACGACTTCGCCGTCTGACCCTGAGTGGCTGCTTTTAGTCTCATCGTTCTCCAATGAACCTGCCTGGCATAATAGGACCTGAAAGAACATATGTTCCAACCAACACAGCTCAGTTGGGTCATCACGAGAGGCAAACCCAGCCACCATATCAAGGCAGCCGCTAAGGTCGGATTACTAACAATTGGAAGAGATATCGATTTTTGCTTGCCGACGTCTTTATTGGTTTGGCTTACAACAACCACGCTGCATGTAGTTATAGTCAGTACGTTTAGTGAGAAAAGAACTGATCTCATTAGACCGAAAACAAAAGAGATCAATTATCTTATCTATTAGTTAGGTAATATTATACGTTTTCTTAATAAACTTGATACCGAAATTCCTATATTGAAGAAAAGTGAATGATCACTTAGTAGTTTACTCGTTTTGTAGAATGAAACAAACACTAGCTCGACACTAAAACCTAAATAGAAATTGAATAACGCTTACCATGAGTAACATTTGTTGAGATAAATTAGTATTTATATAAGTAGCTTCTAATGCCAAAAGTTGAGGTGAATTAATGTGACCAGGTTCTTCATTAGGCGGTTCTGCTGCAGTTTCACATACACTAACGAAATCTATATGTTAGATTATGAAAAAGTATAGATATATATTACTCTATAATGTACATGCATTCGGAAAAATACTGCTGATTATCAAAATGACTTGTAGTCAGAAAAAAAAAAATTAACAACCACATCATCCATACATAGATTTTCAGTGTTGTAGAGAAATGAAATATAGCATATAGGTAATCTTGAAGCGGTAATACTATGTGATGGTTAAGTTGATTTAGTAAAATAATGGATTTTGTTTTATCGGCATAAACAAATAAACTTTACATTAAGTAAAGTTATAGAAAATTAAAGGAGTAACAACGGTAGTAAAAACTGAAAATACAGAACATAATTTAGAGTCAATCAGTCAGTCAGATGCAACTTAGAACTTCGTACGTAAGTACATCAGTGTTCAAGTTGCCATACCACCTCAGCACACAGATATAATTGTAAATTCAAATCACATAGTAGTAGAGGTAGTAAGGGAATTAGAAGTAATAGGAGAGGTTAGGATTAGAAGATATTATTCAAGAAGTATGATTTAATGAGAAATGGTTAGAAAGTCAAAACTAGAGGGGTTGAAGAATCCAGAAGATTAAGATTTGAGAGAACACAAAGAATAAATGCACCGGCGCCATTGCAAACGATTTTGAGCCATGTCATTCAAGGTCTCTAACCATCGATTATTATCATCTCGCGGACCCCAACCAGGTAGTCTACAACTACCGACATGGCTAAGTCCACTCGTCAATGACTTCATGGATTTCTACCATGTTTTGGTTTGGCCACCCCTAGCTTTCTTTCAACCTATTCCTACACTAAAAAACAAAGCTCGACGAGGTAGTCAGTGGTTAGGCATACGCAGCACATGTCCTAACCACCTCAACTGATGAAGTTTCGTTACTTCATCTATTGATCTGCCATTCTTACCTAGCACCCATTTCCTAATAACAGCGTCGCTCATTCGGGTGTCCCAGGATATACGAGCAATGCTTCAAAGACACCTATGATCCAAAACCAATAACCGACAAATATTTTCTACTCTCACTGGCCATGTTTCACAGCCATAAAGTAAGACGGAGCGAACTACTGAACAATACACTCGTCCTTTAGTCAGCAAACGGATATCTCGTCTACGCCATAAGTGACACAGGTTGGCAAAAGCCAATCGAGCCTTCTGTATCCGAGCTGAGATTTCGTCAGTCACCAGGCCATCGGCTCTGATGAGACTCCCCAGATAAGTGAAGCGGTCAACACACTCGATTACTTCACTCCCTATAATTACAGAATATTGAAAGTATGACATGTTTGAAACCCAAGATATAAAAGAAGATGAAGTATGAGAACTTTTGAACTACTAAATAGGACTGTGGCCTGTCACCAAAGATAGTTAGCCAAAAAAACTAAAACTGCAGAACTGGACAAGCAAATTTGTACTACCTAGAGCGACTCAGTCCGGCAGCTAACAACAAGTCGCTGCTGCTAGTATACCGCATTTCACGAGAAGGTGGATGAACATTCTCAACTACTAACTCAACCTTACATAACTAAAAACAGAATGTTTAGACAACCATAAAGTTAAATACCACTGGACTAGTCGAATCCTCACTACGTTAAAAAATCACTATTAAAACACTTTATTGAAATAACTGCTATGAATATCCGATAGGAAGACAGGTTGGTTGCATATTTTGATATTGATTATCATGACGATAAAGTGGGGCACAAACGTAAAAATCTAAACGAATATTAATCAAGTGTTGTCGTTATAAGCAAAATATTGAAGTTGAACTTGTTTGGTTAACATCTGCGTAAATGTGTGACAGATTGAAGCTGAGATTAAGCTCTTTAGCACCTTTATTTAAAGTGATCTATTTCTATATGCAACATGATAATAAAAGTGAGACGCAAAAATGAGAGAATAGATAGTTACTGAAGTTATATTGTACTCCAATAAATCTATCACTATGTAGTGCAGATGTTTCGAAGCCTAAGCGATTTGCGTTTCAAATTGTAATTTTCATCATTATAAGTTTGATTCTAATACTTATGATGCACTAACTGTTGAAGTATGAACAGCTACAACACTGAATAAATTTTTTAGATGGTTAGTTATTTAGTTAAACACGTTTACAGCACAAACTGGGTATATTTTGATGAACTAGTTAACTCGACAAATAATAGACGAGTCCCTCACAAGAATACGAAGTTTTTGCATGTACAAAATAACCATCACCTTTCCAAGCTAATGGATAGTTTAGAGTTACAAACAAGAACGAATACTTATATATATATATATATATATATATATATATATATATATATATATATATATATATATATATATATATATATATAAGTAAATACATTAGTAAAATACATCAAAAATAAAATTAATTTCAACTTTTTTCTGAAAAAATATACGGACTTACCAGATTCTGCATCTTCACGCTTATCAAAGAACAACCGGTCTTGTATACGTCGTATAACAAGGTCCCAGGGATATACCGAACGAGTGCAACACATAATCATAGCAGCAATTTTATCTGTGCAATATACTTTACCAACTAAGTCACTAGCCAATCGGTGAATTACTGGATCTCTGGAAGTTGTAACTGTATGGAGAACCCGGTCTACTTTTACGAGAGGACGTTCGTTTCGTGTGCTAATACGATCATATGATTTGTCATAATATTCCATTTCTCCACAATCAACCCTATAATTAGTAAATTAAGTTATTGTGATTGTTGAAAATAATGCCGAAAGTAACAAGGGGGGAGAAATACTTACTTGTCAATAGGTTCCTTTACGTTAGGTAGAGCCAACTTTGCAAGTCTGGCAAAATCTAGCTCTTCTAACATTGTCCAATTATCCTTAATCTGAATAGACGCATCACGCACTGCCTTATGGGCTTGTCTGCGGTCGTTATTAGAACCCCAAGCGCCTGTATTGGACCGCCAACCTTGAGTTCCCCCACGTCGCTGACCCATACCTTGAGGTCCCCAGCTCTGCCACCGTCTATTTTGTTGTAACATCATTCGTTCCCTGTCTGACGCATTGCGTAGCTTACGGCTTACTGTGCCACCTTGATTTCCCATCATTTGATAGCTTGATCGGCCTCCTGTCCACGCGTATCCTGTACCTGGACCACCTAAACCACGACGACCACGCTGTAATCAAAAAGTGAGGCAATACTTTAAGTATTATTGTAATAAAAAAAACTAGACAGAATAAGTTAACAAACTAACTCCAAAGGTCGTGCACCGGATTGAGAAAAGCTAATCATAGATTCGTGGTCAGTCAGTCATTAACGTAGAGTTTAAGGAGAATGTTTTATTAAAAACTACTCTTGCAATTTCAGAAATTTGAGGTTTGCCATACACAAAGCTACTTCAAAAGCCAGAACCCTTTGCTTTGCCCTACTACAGATTAAGCGTTTATTTGTTTGCAATGTGTAAAATACTAAAAAATGATTTCTGACCTGATATACCCTGTTTTTATTCCTCTTGTAGATTAAGAAAACAAACAGTAGTCAGCCGCAACGTAGGACTTATTACGTACGTAAGTTATTTCAAGTTGCCATACAACATTAGCACAGAGACGGAAATGGCAAGCTTAATCTCATAGTGGTAAAGAAAGTAGGAGTGTTAACAGTTATGGGAATTAGGGTTCAGAGATAGGAATCAAGAAGTATATCCCGTGAAATAAATTTAAATAGAAAAAGGTCACCAGCGATTCAGATGACTGGAATTTCAGAGAAGACACAATGGATACATCTGTGCTATGGAAAACAATTTCGAGCCATGCCATTCAAAGTCTCTAACCACCAGTTACTATTATATCCATGTCAAGATTTCTTCAGATGTCAGGTTATCAGGACTGGCAAAGCTTACAGCTTAATTGTTTCTTACAGAAAATCAGTTTTAGAGCACTGATGTACAGTTAATACATGCAAAGAATCCACCTAAAGTTGTACAAAAACACTGAGGACGTTACCAGAGCTGTATATTACCAGTTTTTATCTATGAGAATTATTTTCCTTGCCCTAACGTCCTCAACAAGCACTAATAATTTGCATTAGAGTGATTCATTTCATACAACGGAAACGAAAATGAGTGTAATATCACACCCACCATAGTATGAGAAACACTCAGTTTACAGACCTAAGAAACGGATAGTACTGATAAGGTGAAAACTATCCAAAGGCACAACTATTTTTTACCTTGAGGATCCAATTGCAGCGGACAAAAGTTCTTTACAAGGCTAGAAGTATTATTTAAATGTTTTCTCGATTTATTTTCCCAGGTGACCTATTTTCAGAATAATAATCAATGTACTAAGACGCTTCTTAGGCGATAGAAAAGGTATAACTTGAGGTGAATATGAACCAACTGACCATAGGGAATCTGTATCTCTGACGAACGGCTGGGGTCTTCGTCTCACGAACGGAAGAAACCAATTGGAAATTGCTATCATCCTCATCATGGTAGTAGGCGTACTGTGAACCGATAGGCTGGGTGCCATAGCGACCTAAAAATATCTCAGAATTAAATATAATTAAAACCTTTGTTTTTCATGTCCTGAAAAATATTTCCGGACCAATCTGCAACCTAGAGATTTACAAAACAAGTTTATTTTAGTGAAACCTTACCCTTCCAAGGCGGGTATCCTTTGAAAATGGTTGGAAAGGCATGTTTCTGAACTCTTCTGGTATGTCCGTTGGGCCCCATCCTGTAGGATTCTCGCTGAGAGAAAGGGACTCAAACTTTGGCAGGGCCAAACCACTTGCTTGCATGTTCCGACCTTTGGATTGAGCTCCACATCAAAGGCCAATATCCAATTTTAAGATTCCTAATGGTGAGTTAGGTACTTTAGGAGTATGTCCTGTTTTGATCTATTTCTGCTGAGTTTCTATGGGTGGCTAGTCACCTTTTAAATTAATTACATAAAGCGCAGGGCACTTTCTCTGGTTGCAGACCAGAAGAGTTGATACCTCGATGATGAAACCTGTTATCACGTATAATTTCTTCCTTCCTGGCTTCTGTACTCGTCTGGTGTGTTATCTCAGTATTTTATCTATGAGAGAAAGAAGAGCAGATGATATGGCAGGTTCAAATCATTCATTAGTTTTCTACACATCATAAACATATAAAATCTGAATCTAAGGCAGGACAAAGTAAAGGATTCGGACTTTTCAAACAGCTTTGTATATGGTAAACCTCAGAGTTATGGAATTACACAGGCAGCCTTCTCCTTTAATTTTTCCAAGAATTTCGAGTCACCTTTTATGTACTGACTTGCAGCTTGAACAGTATTTTAATTTTCATCTCGCTGAAGTTGTCAATTCTATGGCGAACAGACCGGTATGTTAGTCGTAATGTTCATATGGTTCTGAAACTCTTACCTGTCGCTGCATTAAAGGTGGGTCGTGGTCTTAAAATCGTGGCTCACTGTTGCCTCATTATCACAGGAAGATGGGACAACAGGTATCGACTCTTGATCAATGCCGTAAGTATTTGGCTGTATCTCGATTGTGCATATAAACACAGTAAATAGCTTCAGCTATACCTTGGCACAGGTCAGGAAATTTCTAGATTTTCCAAAATTAAGAGGAGCCGATAACTCATTATCTTATCAAACGGTGTGCTAATGTCTAAGTAGACTGTATCCACTGATTTTCTACCATCTGTAAACTCCGTTCATCTGAAGTGAGGCTTAGAGGTCTGTAATTTGATCGAAATTGTCTTATTCTTGCCTCATGAGCTGCAATGACTAATGCATATTTCCGGTTCGTAGGCAAAGCACTTTAACCAAGTAATATAGTCAATGAAGTGGCCAGGTAGTGTGGATTTTATTTCAAGATTTTCATATTTGTTTTCTCAGGTCTTGCTGATTTTTCTGTGTCAGAAGTGCTTAGAGCCTTTATTAGGTGAACTTGAACTTGAACTAGTAAAAGTTTGGTAACGGAGGCACTGTGACCAAGTATTCTGGAAATTTACCAGCTAAAACAGACCCGTACGAAGAAAAAATGACTTTATTTGGATATTCTCTGAAGATTCCCTTATGGTTTGTAATGGTCAGTTTTGAGGAAGATTGTTTGGTGGAGGTCATATGATTGGCTATGTTATATAACATAATCTGGTTATATTTACTGAACCCCTTTATGGATAGTCTCATGTGACGAAGCATACTTTCGCAAAATCTAACCCCGAATCTTCTGTTCACTTTCTGGACCGGTCCCGTGATATCTGTGTCCCTTTCCACTGGAGAATGTAAAACATCAATTTCTTAAACAATACTAATCGAACATAAGAAAACCACTACAAAATTTCGGTTACTACAGTTAACTGGCCCGAACAGTTCGGCCTGATACCTTTTAACCTCAACCCAGGGTGATGACCGAAAAACAAAACTGTATGTTAGCGAAAAATAACACGGAGTTGTTAGAATGAGTCCTCGTTATTGGTAGTCAAACGATCTCCTCATATAAAAGTTTTGTCAGTGATTTTGACATGTAGGTGACCGGACAAACAAAAAATGGGCCTAGAACATTATTATGGCCAATGGGAAAGATTTTCTGTTTTGGCTCTATATATCACTTGTTAAAGTCTGTGTCGTGTTCAACTGTGGACGCTGACTAGATTGGTGTTTACAAAGTCACTACACGTGAGTTTTCGTCTTCAATGGTCAATTTCAAGGAAAGGTGGTCGATTGTTTTAAGAGGCACGCTTGTATTTCACGTGTTTCTCAGCAGATCTGGTCAGTAGCAGCTAGCATAGATGCTATCTTTTGGATTTTATGTCTAAGATAATATTAGTGGATTCATTTATTCCACTTGGATCATAGACCTATTCCACAACTGTAGACTATTTATTATGTGATCGCCTAGTCTGTAAGATCCTACGCTGAAGTTGCGCCATTGTTTGTACTTATTCGCATAGTCGTGACAGTCCGTGGTTTGCATTTTAGTGCTTCCAAAGGATACATCTAACCTAGGACTGGGTCGATATATTTAAAGCGCAGAATAAGAAGTCACAGAATGACCACGCCGTCTTGATTTTTACTGCCTTCACAATTTCTGAACTCAAAATATCCAATATCCAATACAAGTCTTTTTAATAATTGTGTGTTTAGGTTTGAGGAGTTGGCAGTTAGGAACTAATGTCATTGCAATTTCTGGGTCGCTTGTTGCCGTAGTGTTAAAGAATTTGGCGTACTGACCACCGGTCGCATTTGATATAAATGAAACACCTTTTCAGTTTCGTTTATGATTTAGTGATGGTTTATTATTATGGACGTGTTTCACATTGTGTAACGATATGTCAGGTAACTGCAGCCATCCCATGATTGAACACAGAACCAGTGATACCATATTCAATTTGAATTTTTCGGATAGTACATTTGTTCACAGTCAGATTAGATTTCAGCTTTGTTTATCACCACTATGGCAGGATAAGCACAATGTTCTAAGACTCTGATGATTTCGATTCAGTCTGTGAAAAGAGAAAATGATTCGGCACTATATTTACCTTTCCAGGGTATTTTCGTATCCGAGATTCAGCGAATTAAGTCCATGATCGTAACTTTGTAATGTTTAAATTGGTGTCTCTATTACTATGGCGATAAATTGTAACCAATAAACATTTGTTAGAAGCCTTATAGGTTAGCTTACTTCTGAATAATCATAGACTCATACATGTCCCTTGCACTCGAATAGCATAGAATTTTTGGTGGTTAAGAGCTATACAAGATCTGAATAACTCGCAAAACATTCAGAATTTTCCAATTTGTAGGACTTATAAGTTCAAATAACCATAAAAAATCCACACATTCCGAGGCAACCCCCTCACTGAAAACTTGAAAATTAATTGTTTTAAAAGGAAAATGACCTTCGAAACATTTCGAGCTTACCAAAATTCTTAATAAAAATAATTAAAATAAACCGTGTGAAGCGTTTAAAATAACAGAAACCTTCAGCTTCAAAAATGCTCTACTATCTCTTTAGGATTCCGGCTGAAATCCAAAGATTAACTAGCCTGGTTGGTAAGAAATAATGTTTGCAGAGTGGTGTATAAATAGCAAAACTGTTGCAAATCAAGTAGACGGTAACTGCAGCGAAGTTCCGAGACGTGATAAAAACTTATATAGAGTTGAAATAGTTGCATATTATAAATAAAAATATGGCATAATTTTCATATAGAGCGACCATTGTTTATTTATTGTTAGTCACCAAGATTTACGATTTGAAAGCATAAACGACTGAGACAGAAACAATAGTTTTAGGAAAAAATAGCTGCCATAATCGTCTCTGAGGCATTGGCTGAAACCTATGAGAATAGGTAGAGATACCACAAAGTTTAAGTCCAGCAGTTAGAGATAATTGATTAAGCATCGAATGGTGCCACTGCGACGCGTCCATCAAGTTAAAATACATATTCAAGCAGTTATCAAGTTCTCTGAACGACGCCCTCGTTTACCCGCAATGATTGAAAAACTGAAACGGCGTCTGAAATATTTTTGTACATGCTTCTGTGTTTGTACATGTGGATGACAAAATCCCTCTTATATGCATGGTATATGAAATTGGACTTGATATAAAATTGAAAGATATGTGGGATTCGAAAAGTGACCGTCAAAGGAACAATATCTCTCTCTGATTCGAGACAGAGTTTGCACTGATGCTTACTTACGGTTATGTTTCCTTTATCGCACTTCATCCATTGACATTCTCCAATCAAGTGAAACGTTGTTTGACTCCATCTTGGATTGTGGAGTCGTTTTAATGTGTTCATGGCCTGGATTTATCAATTTGACTTGTTTCTCGTTTTCTTTTTTGATTGAGTGCGTTTTCATTTTGTTGTGGAAGTCCGTCACTCGTAACAAATCTTATTTTGAATTAAACTGAACTGCTTAGTGAGGTAGCAGGTTCTATGTTCGGAAATCTTTTTATTTTCTGTCAAGTTATTAGCTTCTCGTCTCTCTGAGCTAAGAGCATGTGTATAGTGGTCTTGAATACTTAAGTAATTCTTACTTTTACAGCCTGATTTCACCCAACAACGCAAACATAACTGGACCGTAAATCCCACTTCTTAAAACTCTTCAGGTTTGTATCATTATTATTACCTTTATAATTATTTTATGCCAGTCAACTGAAATTTTCGCCATACAATATTGTTTGACTTCATCAATCACTATGAATGACCTACTGTAAAATTTCGCCGTGCTTCCTACTATTTAAGAACTCAGTCGTTTCTAGTTTACGTAACTGGTCGAGCCTTTTAGTACATCGTCAGAAATCTGAGAAAACTGGATAGAGTAAAATTCTATCAGATAGCATCCTTACTCTTGGTTTGCATCTCTGCGAAATCGTAACCGAACTATGAAGACCCCCACTGTTGTTCAGTAAAAATAACCTACTCAAAAACTCGTCCCTTACAATGCCTTCCTAAGATATCTGTGCTAAATGTTTTGCACGCGCTTCAGTCAAACTAGGAATTTAATACTTGTTGTCTGTAGAGAAGAAAAACTTGCCCCGAACCTCATTTTTATTACGAGTTATTCCATGCTTGAATTAAACTCTTCGCAAGACAATCCCCTGAATATTACTTTGTCAGAAAAGTAATTGGAAGGTGTGAACAATTCAGAGAACAGACGTAAAATGCAGGTCTTCTAGAGGAAAATTATCCCATTAAGCTTTTCTTCGATACCAACCGATGATGGCATTGGTTCATCGTCGATGAAAGCGCCTAAGAATGCAACGTCTGGCTGTTTTACCAAAATCTTTCCGTTGACTTCAGAAACTGCACCTAAATTTTGTGTGGTTTAGAAATTAT